CCATTAATCATAGATTATTCTGACCTGTAACCCTGATAGTGGATCCAGATCACTCAAATATTATAAATTTGACTCAAAAGACTGGCCAAGGAACTAAATTCATGATTTTCATTTTATCTTTAAAAACTTATATCTAATCATCAGATTTTTAAGTTTTGTTTGTAACATTTTAGATCTTATAAGCTTGATTTTTATTAACTTTATTCAATTTAATTATACACAGACTATCACTGAGTCAGATATATGTAATACTGTATGACTTTAGGAATGTAATGAACTGGAATTTTAAATGGTTTGGTTCAGAAAAATAAGATTTATAAATTCATACTTACACCTAACTCGGTATCTTTTATAGAGCACGACAAAATTATATTAAACACAGCATGGGATCGACTAGATTCATTATTCATGTTGGTAGCTGCCACTGTTCGAGATTTGTTTCCTTCCAATATCAAACTGTTGATCTCCTAGGATAAAATTCAAGGAAACTTGTATAAATATTTAAAATATAATAAAATACTCAAAGATCAATGTTGTATAATATATAGTTAAAATTGTATTTAAAACCGATCAACAGTCATAAAAGATACTCTACATATTTTGAAACATATAGAGTGCCTTTTTATGACCACTGATAGGTTTTTAAATAAAATGTTAATATATATTATACAGCATTGATCGTTGAATATTTTATAATTATTTACTGTTGATCACCAAATCAAGAAAAAAATATATAAACATACATCAAATGCAATCTTTCTTTACAAATACTAATTCTTGTTTACATTAAAACTTGATAAACTGGGAAATGCCTTACAAGAAGTTAAGTATAACAACAAAAGAACGACTAAGACTTTACAGAATTATTGTGAATATGTTCTATTGGACCAAATGAACAAGGCTGAGTGAAATATTGATTACATCATATTCTGATTGTGAAAATTAAGCACAGAAACATATAAAATGTCATCTTTTTTAATTTACTCAAGGACTATCTACACAAGCTTTACCTAATTTTGAACTAACAGACTAGAGGGAAGGCAGCTAGTTAACACCACCCACTGACAACTTTTAGGCTTCTCTTTTATCTATGAAAAATGGAATTGACCATCATATTATAATGCCCCTATGGTTGAAAGGAGGCCCAGAATGGCCAGGTGGTTAGAGCACTCGACTTGTAATCTGAGGGTCGCAGGTTCGAATCCCCGTCACACCAAACATGCCAACCTCCGCCTTTGCCTGGTCCCAAGTCCAGGATGAGAAAGGAGGAGGGTTGGGTGCGGGGCTAGCAACTCCACTCCGTAAAAACCAACCTGCTACAAGTAACTGCAACAACACCTTTTGTTGGCGAGGTGTTGTTGCGGCCCTATGCTCCACTGGGAGTTTACAGGAATAGTAATTAAAAAAAAAAGGTTGAAAGGACGAGCATGTTCAGTTATGGGATTTGAATTTGTGACCCACAGATTCTGAATTGAGTGCCCTAACCACACAGGCTGTATCAAGTGTTTTTCAAGATAAAATTGTCTATCATCACAAAACAGGATTAGTCTCCATATAATATTGCTTGGGAATAATAGCAGACAATTTCTCTAAAAAAAGGCTCTCTAAACTGTTGCTGATCCAAACTGTAATCACAAATTTGTGAAAGAAACAAAAAAAAAGTTAAATTAAAGAGATTTTGCTTTTATTTTTTACTATACATAAATCACTCATGAGCATGAGCCTACATCACTGGCTTATATCTCTTTAACTTCTAATGCTATTAAGTTTGTTTCTTGTTGAACACAAAGCTAGATGGTGGGCTATATATTCTCTGCCACCATGGGTACTGAAACCTGATATTTAGCGTTATAAGCCCTCAGGCTTACTACTGAGCCACTAGTGGGCAATGCCATTAACAAAAATGAATGAAATGTAGAAAGATGTGTTTAAATATTGTATATTTGTTTTTGGAGTTTTCTGTGTTTTTATTATTCTTACCGAGGATATAAGTATATTATTATATATATTCAAAGCTTTCATTAAAATAGAACTTAAAGTGTTCTTAAACTGTTTTAACAAATGAATTTGACTACTAGAACTGAAAGGAAACTTTAATGACTTGACTGAACCATGTGAACTTGACTAAGTACACTTGTATATTACAAAAAACCCAGAATTATTCATTACTGGTGATGGAACTTTGGATTATAAATATGCAAAATCCCCAAAATCAATAAAACATGGCTGAATATCTTTTCAGGCTATCCTCAATGCAAAACAATATTTGTAGGTGGCATCCAATGAGACAGTTCGACTTTGATATTTCAGAGTCAAAATTTATGTCACAGGTAAATATGTGCCAAGTTTTATTGCAACACTTTCAATTGCTTTATATTTAAAAGAAAATAAAATCAGTGACCTTTAACCTTATGTTAAAAAAATCTGTGGACAACTATAGTAGCTCATCATCACTTCATTATCAAGTAATTATGTAGGGCAGTAACAGATTTATATAATTAAATAACATGTTATGTCCTGTGCACATGAAGGGAAACCTTTTGGATATAAACATTACTACTAATTTCACATAAAAAAAACAGTTAAATGTGGATAAATATTAATTTCATTAAGGGTTTAATAAATCAATCCAAGTCTAGTTTTTATTTTGGCAAGTCTATTACTTAACTTTACATCCTGGATAAGTTCAACTAGCTTTAAACCATTTATCTAAACGTGTTGGAAGAAGATGCTTCCAGCTGCTAGTTAAGGATGTCATCAAAGCCTGTTGAATGACCTGATGAAGAACTAAGTTGATAACTCAAAATGTACCTTCCAAACACACACATGTAAATAGGATGATGAAGCTTAGTGAAGATTATGGCTAACAACTATGTTGGCAGATTGAAACACCATCTCCAAAAAGACTCAAACAAATCAATGCAGCCTGTTGTTTTGTTTAGTTTTGTGTAAAGCTACATGAGAAATATCTGCTCTAGTCATCCCTAATTTAAAAGTAACAGACTAGAGGAAAGGCAGGTAGTCAACACCACCCTGTTGTTTTGTTTAGTTTTGTGTAAAGCTACATGAGAAATATCTGCTCTAGTCATCCCTAATTTAAAAGTAACAGACTAGAGGAAAGGCAGGTAGTCAACACCACCCAAGATGAAACTCTTGGGCTACTTTTTACCAATGAAAAGTGGGATTGACTGTCACTTTATAATTCCCCACAGGACAGGATTTGGTGACAGGACTTGAATCCATGACCTGCTGATTGTGAGTCAAGCGCTCTAGTCACCAGGCCTGTAAGCCCAAATCCCGTGGAATAATCCATTGAAAAACTATATATACATATATTTATATCACTATAAATTGAAATAACATCTTCAAAAAAACCTAAAACAAGTGGGAAACCAATGAAACTTGCAAAATGTTTTATTTAACAACTCCTTCATGATAACAATGTCACTTGCAATAATTACAGATACATTTTTGTATCAAAATCACTTTTACCTACAATGACATCTACTGGCAGTTAAAACTGTATACCATTGAAAAGTATGCTAGACTAACAAGGGGGAAGGGAGAAAAAAGGTAAAACATATATGTACTTACTTCAAAAGATGAAACTGCCAAGGTGGAAAGACCATCAACATAAGGGCCTAAAATATTGTGTTCTCTAACTTTCAAGTTTTGGTTGGTACTGTAAAAACAAGAAATCATTGTGTTATTTCCTTCTTGCAATGAACCACACACACATACAGCTAAAAAAAAGACATATTATGTATGGAATTAACTGTTAAAAAGCCAGGTAAGTACAGATGAATTTCTTTGGAAGTTCTATCTTACACATTGTACATGTAACAGTGTAGAATTAATTGGAAGTTCTATCTTACACATTGTACATGCAACAATGTAGAATTAATTGGAAGTTCTATCTTACTCATTGTACATGCAACAATGTAAATTAATTGGAAGTTCTATCTTACACATTGTACATGCAACAATGTAGAATTAATTGGAAGTTCTATCTTACTCATTGTACATGAAACAATGTAGAATTAATTGGAAGTTCTATCTTACTCATTGTACATGCAACAATGTAGAATTAATTGGATATTCTATCTTACTCATTGTATATGAAACAATGTAGAATTAATTGGAAGTTCTAGCTTACTCATTGTATATGAAACAATGTAGAATTAATTGGAAGTTCTATCTTACACATTGTACATGCAACAGTGTAGAATTAATCGGAAGTTCTATCTTACACACTGTGCATGCAATGTAGACTTAATCCAAACTAGTTAATCTTGTAGCATAAGATTTTGGGCTTAAAAACTTTACCTTGCTGCTTTACTTTTTGAAAATATTATAAAAATAAGACATTTGTGTTTATTTAGTAGTGTACTAAAATATCTGAGATTTGAAAAAGGTGGTTAGTCATAGTAATCAGTATATATTTGAGAACTTATCATCTGATCACTTTAATTGTCATACAAATTTAACAGGTTAACTCCACCCACAGTAACTTACAAACAAAGAAAAATCACATGCAATGTGTATCTGTGGTATTCCTAAGAATAGAGAAGTCATTCTACTTTGACACAGTTCTATAAGTGCCATTAAGCAGGCAACACTGTTAATTAATTTTTATTCTATTATGATAAAATCATAGATAATGCTGCTTAGATTATGTATTTTATGATAATTTACTGAAACGGTATAAAGTTAGAATAGAATCAATATGAAATAGATGGTTTTGATTCAAAACTAAACATAAAAAACCCACACACAGTAATGAAATCTTCAAAATAACAGTATGTTATTGTAAGGTTTTGTATCAAATGATTGAAAATCTTCCTTTTTTTGTTTTTCTGTGGGAATATTACAACCTCTACTGATAACCACGTCTTATGTTATATATGCCAGCACATCACTTAGACTTCCAAAACTGTGATACACATGCATATCAATTTTTTAAAGTTTTTTATTGGCATATCATGTCATAGTAAACATTTTACATGATGTGTATCCACACACTTCAGTAACTGTTTGATAACACTCATGTCCCCTTACCTAAGTAATTTTTTATAACACATGTATTCTCAAATAAGTAAGAAATTGTTTCATAATACAGGTCACCATACAACTGAAAGGCTAATTAGCATAATACACACGTCCCCAAATAACTCGAAAAATGTTTCATAATACACAGCCTCACACAACTGAAGAACTGTTTCATAATACACAGCCTCACACAACTGAAGAACTGTTTCATAATACACAGCCCCACACAACTGAAGAACTGTTTCATAACACACGTCCTCACACAACTGAATAACTGTTTCATAATACACAACTGAAGAACTGTTTCATAATACACAACTGAAGAACTGTTTCATAATACACAACTGAAGAATTGTTTCATAATACACAACTGAAGAACTGTTTCATAATACACAACTGAAGAACTGTTTCATAATACACAACTGAAGAATTGTTTCATAATACACAACTGAAGAATTGTTTCATAACACACGTCCTCACACAACTGAATAACTGTTTCATAACACACATCCTCACACAACTGAAGAACTGTTTCATAATACACAACTGAAGAACTGTTTCATAATACACAACTGAAGAAC